TGGTCCAAAAATAAGGAAAAATCTTGAGCTTGCGTATAATATTATTTTATTGAATTATATATTATTGAAAATAAGAAATAAAAAAATATATTTTGAAAATAATGGAGACCAAACGATGGCTTAATTTAAAACTTGGTATTGCTATTATTACAACTTTAAGTTTGTAGATAATTACATAAAACCAGCTGTTTAGTTTTAAGTTTCTGAAAATCAGGTTTTATCATTTTTAATTAATTATGATATTATAAAATTAAAATTAACATATATACACACCCTACTACATAGAACCGCCAAANGGGGACAGCGATGGTGGTTTTTTTTGTGTCTGTGACCTAACTATTGAATTGCGGTGGTTTTTTCTGGTGTCTGTGACCTTGGTGGTTTTTTCTGGTATCTGTGACCTTTCTGATGTCTTTGACCTAGCTATTGAACTGTGGTGATTTTTTCTGGTGTCTGTGACCTTGGTTGTTTTTTCTTGTATCTGAGACCTTTTTGGTGTCTGTGACGTAACTATTGAACTGTGGTGGTTTTTTCTGTTGTTTGTGACATTGGTGGTGTCTGTGACCTATGTTGTTTTTCTGGTGTCTGTGACCTAGATATTAAACTGTAGTGATTTTTTCTATTGAATTTGTAACTAGAAAAGGAATCTGTGACCTACAAATTTGAAAACTGTGACCTATAAAAAAGTTTTTTGTGACCTCAAAACAATCTGTGATCAATGAATTTGATAAGTTGTGATCGAAATTAAATTTTCAACTATTTAATAAGATATCCGCGACCTTGGAATTGGAACAGTTACAGGATTTAAGCGACGGCCAACAGTCATAGGAAAATGGTCGCCGAAATTAAGCTCCATCGGAGAACAGTTGCCGGAGTAATCGCGGGTTAGTCGCCGGAGCAGTGAAGGAGGTGGAGTGGGGTGGGTCAATTATATTATATTATATTATAGTTAAATATTTAATTTAATAGATTAATTGTAAAATATAATTAATTAATTTATGAAAAACCTGAGTTTTGTAAATAATCTTGGGGTCTGATTTTTGATTTCGTGAAAGATAATCCCTAACATATGAATTTTTCCCTTTTTATTAGGGATAATATGTACTAATACTTATATAAAGTTTATTTTAAATGTCGTAGTCTGATTCGGCCCAATATTTGAATTCAGTTTGTTAAAATATTACTTTAGGCACACCATGATAAGAATTAAATAAAAACTGCAATTTTTTTTTCATTTGAGAATAAACAAAAAACTACTCCATCCGACTTGCATTCACCGTAGAAAAAGTTACTTATTATTATTATTTTTAAAATATTCAAAAAGTAAATTACATAAATATGTTTGAATTACATTTAGCCAAGCATGTTTGGCTAAGCTTGAATTTCAATTATAAGTAATTTTAAAAATAAGTAACTAATAAAATTTAAAAAAATTACTTATTTGAAACAAAAAAAGAGTCCGGACTTGTTTGGGAATGATTAAAATTCAATTAAAATTAATAATATAGCCGTTATTGGGTCCCACTCGTCTAATATAAGTTAACTCCAACAGCTATATTTTCAATTTTAATTTGATTTTAATCCCTTTCAAACAAGCTCTTAATTTACAAACAAGAAAATTTATATGTGAAAACAAAAAATAATTTTTTAAGTTTGAAAAAAAAAAATTACTCAAAGCTGACTCGCACTTATTCACCCTATTTCCAAACGTGATGAATCGGGTTAAATTCGTAAAACCACATTTTTGTCAGCCAATAAGAAACTAGAAAACAAAGGCGGTTTTACTCAAAGCTGACTCCCACTTTTTTATTTATTCTGTTTTAGTTTAATTTTTAGCCGAACCTAGGGTTTGAAAACGAGAAGAATAAGAGTGATGTAAAAAAATAAAAAATAAAAAAATCCGTCGACTACCTCTCTGTATATCAGTAATTCTGTATTTTTTTTATTTCAGGTAATTCATCCCTCTTTCTATGTTTATGTGCATATCGTTGAGGCGTTTCATAGTTAAACATTTTTTTTGGAGGTTTATTGATCTGTGTGAATGAATTTGAAAATTGTGTTCCTTTTTTTTTTTTGGGTAAATTGTTGAAATGATGGCCGCGGGGAGCAATAATTTCAGTTAATTTTTGATTTATGTTAATTTTTTTGCTGTTGATCGATGTATTTGTACAGCTGGTACTCAGAAATTTTTGTGTTTGCATGTTAGAGGACATCCTTTATTTTTCATTTTTCGTTCGACTTTGAAGTTGGTAATGATTGAGAGCTGATTTTGGAATTGGAAAGAGATATTTTTGTTGTTCACAGCAAAAATGTTAAGAGCATGTTTGGCTAAAATTAAAATCAAATTAAAATTGAAAATATAGCTGTTATTCGTCCCACTCGTCTAATAAAAGTCAACAATAGCAGCTAGTTTTTCAATTTTAATCCGATTTTAATCTCTACCGAACACGCCCTAAAAATATAATTCTACACTTTTATCAGACAGCCACCGGAATTTATGATTTTTGGCTGTTCAGCACGAAATGATGATCGTGATGGAAATTTTGTTTCCCCATGAATTTTGCTTTCAAATAACGAACTTTTGTTTTATTTAGAAATGGAATTTTAATTTAACACATGCCATATTGGGCAGTTAGATGTATTTAGCCAGTTTGCAGAATATCTACATTTGTTGCATGCATATTTACGTAAAAAATCATGTAAACAAATGATAGAGGCCTGAGCTTTTCTGCGTGTAACACATGAAAAAGTGAGCATTAATATAGTATTTATTAATTAAGACGAGCATAGAAACTTCTAGAGTTGGTGATTCACTATGGTAGTCGGTATAATTGCTGAAATTTTTTCCGTAACGCCATGTGATTTAAAATTTCAAACTTAGGAAGTAGGGATTGCTTCTTTAAGGCTAACATACTCATCTCAAAGATGTCATTTTGCACTGCACATGATTTTTTTTTTTAATTTAAACTTAGGCGTCAAAGCATTTTTTTATATTTTATAAGCTTTATGAGGACGTTGGGGGAACTATGTTTATATGCTCATAATATTTTTTATCCTTTCAACGGTCCTCTGGTTGCTCAGTTTTTGTAGCTTTGTCACTAATTTGTTTTACAGCTGTCTTCTTGCTTGGCGTATAAGTTTGATATTTCACTCATTTTGGAGAAATTTGTGGACAATTGAATTTCCCGATCGTGACTTTTTGCCCTTGCAAGACACAAATTTTGCATGCTGACTAGTAATTTTTTGCAGATTGAAAAGGTCATTTCTTTCTGTAGTATTTTAAAGTATTCTTTGATCAACCAAAAAAAAATAAAAATTGCCTTTTCTACATGTTTTGAGATAATAAAGCTCGAGTAAGACCAACTTCCTACATGCAAATATTAGGAGAAAATTCAAGTGCAGAAAATGAGAGGTTGAACGAGGATATTGTAATATACAACTTCATAATAATCATCAATGGCAAGCGTGTGCTAGTTTGCTGCCCAGATCTCATGCTGTGGACCGGGACGGGATAAAAATTTCTCACTGCTGAAGTGCTCACGTGGCAAGAGAACCTTAATTATGGTTCTCAGCACCCCACTGGGGAAGTTTTCTCATTTAGTGATGCTTGGTATTTAAATTGTAGATACACTAGTTATAAATGGAATGTGACTCATCCACGTGGATTGCCTTGTTTTCTAGTAATGAATATTTACTTAAAACAGTATTTCTGATCACTTCCTTTCAAGAGAAATTTTGTATTGGCCTTTAGCTTGTCTGGCTGCTATAGTAATTATACAGTAGACAGATGTCTGTCTGGATGGATGTTTCAACTGAGCTTCGGTTTGGTTTTTAATTTGTCTTGTGGTTATAGCCACGGCTAAAAATTCACTTGATTTTATTTTTGAAAACATAACATGTGAAGTCTTAAAGTCACGAGATATGGACTAGTGACTTGTACTATACAGAAGTCATTAAGCGGCCCTTTTTTTTCTTTTCAAAAAAAGGTTTCATGCTTAACCATTTCTACTTCAACCTTTTGGTTTGTTGATCTAAACAACCTATTATGCCTATCCCTTTGTTCTACCTAAGAGATTGCATGCATAAATGTTGCAGTTAATGCAAGGTTCATGTGCTTCATGCCTTCCTTGGAACCCTTTAAAATAAATTAGCAATAATACAGGTCACACTCTTCTTGAACTCAATAGCATACATATGCATTCCTACTCTTGAGAATGTGCATAGAAATAGTTATCTCTTCTCCTGCTTAGATTAAGTAACCACATTCTTTAGGTATTGAGATTTTACTTTATAAGAAGGAATGAGAATCATTAAGGTAAATAATGAATTAATATAATTTTTCATCCCTATATTCTTGTACTGTCAACATTTTCTTAACCAACTTCCAATCACCAACAAATTCTATTTAGGCTCTGTTTGAGCCTTTTTTATTTTTTGGTGTAAAAATGAGTTTTGTTATAATGATTTTTGGGAAAATGTGTGGTTAAAAAGTAAAGAAAAGTTTTGGGTTCACGTGCAAAATTATTTTATTAGGAGAATGTGTGTTTGAAAATGAGGCTCAAACAGGGGCTTGATAAATTTTCATTCTCCTTATGTATACTTTACATCCTTTATTTATGGAAGAACGCAGAAAACAAATATCTCTTCTACAACTCTGTTATTGCAGGGATTTGAGTTTTATAGAATGAGTTCCTTTGCATATTGTTTCATATTAGCACCTTAGGTTTTCTCCATATATTCTGGATTTATGGTTTAGTTATTTGTTTTTACTGTGACTGCCTGGTATTGTTAGACATGTATTCTGTTCATTAGTGAAAAAGTACTTTGTTATTGTTTTAAATAGTTATTTTATGTAAATTGCTTGTTATTTGCTAGGATTTGTCAACGTTTACCTATGGGTTTGTTTCTATAAGACAAAACAAAGACCGAGGTCTTTGAATTTGTCACCTTTGAAGTTTCGAGTGTGAATCAGGGGATTGGGATTGATCCAGTGGTTAGAAATGGAAGCAAAGTTTGCAAGGGTATTGGATAGTGGTCGGCATGCTGTTGTTGACTTGAAGAGAAAGCGAGCGACCAGCGGGACCTGTTTTAAGGGAGATACTGACCTGGTGTTGCCTCTACGATCTACTGCCAGTTCCTTCGTCCGCAAGCTTGGCAAACGGAGGAAATTGTATGAATCTAAAAGCAAGCATGGTTTTTGTTCCATATCCTCTGGGAAATCTTTGCTTAAATATTATTCGAACTTCAAGAAAAGTGGGCTTCCACACCGGTTGATGTATTATTACCATGGTGAATGGAATGATTTCCCCCAGGATATTGTTAAATCGGTTCAGAATGACCTTATCATGAAGAAGACTGCTGTGGAGGTGGATATTAATGGTAATATTGTTTTACTGGACTTCCTCCATATGATGCAGATGGACTTGAATACTGGTCTGCATCAACCTATTGCATGGATTGATGAGAGTGGAAACTGTTTTTTCCCTGAAATCTTTGCTGATTATGACAAAGCACAAGGGTCCCACTATGAATTTGACGAAGGTCACAGTCATCTAGTTTCTGAGCACCAGGGACCTGAAAATATCAAGTTACATCTTGAGATTGAAATAAATGGATCAGATGCTTTTGAGCGGAAGGAATCTGTTGGGGAGTCAAATGTTAAGCAAATACAAGTTCATCAGAATCTTGCTGAAAAAGATTGTGATGAAGTTAATAGTAGTTGTACCAGAGTATCAGCTGTGGAAGTTGATAGGAAATCTGAAGAAATAAAAAAGATGGGAGGAAAAATGGTCACGATGGTTGATCACGTACAGGGGTTTCTGAATGCCGACACTGTAAAGAAGATATTTTTTACAGGTATTGGCTCATCTGCCTGTGCAGAAGTGGTTGATGTGCGTCGTGGTTCAAGCACTACGATGGAAGCTCGGTTAGAGCTTTTCCAGAAGCAGGTCGAAATTACTAAAATGTACCGTGGGGATTCAAATGTCCAGTATGCTTGGCTTCCTTGTTCTAAAGGAACAGTCTCGGGTATAATGAAGTATGGAGTTGGCCATTATGAGCTGTCTAAAATTAAGCCCACGTATGGGATTGGGATTCATCTTATCCCTGCTGATTGCACAGAGATCAGGTATGATGTAGCTTACTCTCTCTTTTCTCCACTGAATTATATGATATTACAGTATCTTTTTTGTGGGAAATAAATTAAACGGCGTGGGCAGAGGTTGGTCAAATTTGTTGTGCTAATATAGTTATTATGAATCTATTGCTACATCATATACTAGCTGGTTATCTGAATAATTTTTTTCAGGACTTATTAGATTAAATGGTTGGCTATTTGTCTTTTCAGTTGGTCATCTGGCTGACGATAAACCACTTACCTTTATCCACTAAATATAGATGACCATTTATTATTAATTACTTGTTGTAGCATGAAATAAAATATCTCTTATCTGAAAGTTCCTTATTTAGGTCTGTATTTTTTAATTTTTTCTTTTGTTTGGCACGATACTGTTACTTGCAGTGCAAGTTACTATGATGTTGACGAAAATGACACAAGACATGTAGTATTCTGTCGTGTAATAATGGGAAACATGGAGCTTGTTCATTCTGGAAGAAAACAGTTCCATCCCAGCAGTGAGTACTTTGATAGTGGAGTTGACAATCTTCAAAATCCAAAGTGGTATATAGTATGGAACACAAATATGAATTCTCACATCTACCCAGAGTACGTTGTTAGTTTCAAGATGGCTTCTGATGTTGAAGGTGATAGTTTAGTCTTGCATATTAATTTCTCTTTTTATTGTCTATACAGAATCATCTGTCGGGATTGATATCGTATCTGCAGACATTATTTTTTCACTAGAGGTGTTTGTCGTAGACTCGTAGTGTTCTCATCCATAGTGAGGGTCCAAGAGTTGATATTTTATTTTTTCTAATTTTGTAAATGAATTTAATGTCCAATTTTTTTAATGAAAAAATATAAGGAGCTGAAATGTTGCTACTGTTGAATAGGTTATTTGTTCTATAAATCTTAACCCCCCTCCGTTTGCAAGTGATGTGTACTTGCCCACAAATAGAAGTATAGCACCAGAAACCAGTAATCTTGACCTCAAGTCAGGCTGTTTGTTTTTCATCTTATTGACCTTCACAACGAGCTTAGGAAATGCCATTTAAGTTTTTGAGCTTTTTTGAGTTCAGACTTTCTGATTAATTTTCTCCTTTAAACTCTTTTAGCACTTGAGCAAACATTTCTTTGTTGGTCTTACAGGACCTAAGGTTGAAACCGAGAGCAGGGTTGATGTTTCAGGGATCAGTTCTTGTTATGAAAGACCTCAAGCCCGGCTACATCTGGGTTCCCCATCGACAGAATTGGTAAGTACTCTATAGTTAATGCATATATGAAACTTCATCACATCCTCCACAAGCGATGTACATTACTTTTGAGACACCACATTCATGTGTACCCTAGGTTCTTAGTTGTTTGGGAGAAACTTTTACATGACCAAAGGATCATGCTCCGCCATTTTGGGAATTCTTTTTAGTGTTTGGATATTTATCTTCTTGTAGAATAATGGCTAGCCCTGGTCTGAAGATACTGGGCTGTGAGGCTCTGTTCTTCCTTCCCAGATCCCCTATCTCTGTTACAAGAGGGAAAGTGGATGCTGATTTTCTTTTATAGAGGGATATAAAATTAGAATTTAAAATGCATATTGCAGGTTTGTTAAAAATCTATTTTATGAATTGGTTCCACATTTTCAAATAGACATTAAGCACGTGTTTATTTCCAAAATAGATGTTAGATCAGATTCTCAAAATAGATAGGATTTTTGGATTGGTGTATGTTAATATGGGACTTGGTGAATTATCGTTGTTGAAACTCATGCTGATGTCAGTTTTGAAGCTACAGAGAAAAGAAAATGATATATATTCTTGAGCTAGAAAGCCTAGAGTTGCCTGATTGAAAGATCAAAGAATTCTTGGAATGTAAAATTGAGGAGACTTGTCTTAATGATGAAATGAATAATGGGCCAGATGATGCGATCCAGCTTGTATTATGTGAAATGAGTCAACTTACCGTGGATTTGCTGAGGTCATGAAGCAGGTTGCAACGGCCTTAACCCGATAGATTATCAAAGTGGTTCGATCATTTAACATTTTACTCCAGCAATCTTGCCTTTTTTATCTTGTCATTACTCCATTCTTGACATGAGCATTGGAGGGACACACATCATTCTGGTTGCCGACCTCTGAAGAGATTGAAGGTGACTAGAATCGAGGTCCAGAGTTATTGTTGGAGGATTTTACCAAAAGTTGAAAGCAACCAGGAAAAAATTGTTAACAGTTTGGTGTTTACTATGGGAAACCGACTTCTTCTAAACTGCATATATTATTGAGAAGCTCTTATTGTTGGAATCACAATTCTATACGTGCCAAAGGACAATGTTGAATTTTCGTTCTTGGACAACACAACGAGAGTAACTTGGCTTTACTTCAAGCAAATAATAATCTAACGCTTCCTCTTTTATTAGCGTGAATGTGAATTTGGATCATGTAGATCCTTTTAGCCTTGTGATATGGTGAAAATCAAGATCGACCTAGTGTCAAAATACATGCATGGATCCTTTTAGTGGCGCTATCGTGATTAGGTGAAAATCAGATCTGTCCTGGTGTCAAGTTGGATAGTGCAAGTCCCTTTAGCATTATGGTCTGGTGAAAACTGAGATTGATCCTATTATCAAGTTAGAGCCCGTTCACTACGGGACTGGGAGATCATTTTGAGAAACATGCAAATGAGTCACCGGTGACTCAGTTTCTGGGCCCATTTGTTGACATTCAGGTTGTTGGGGTAGGCCAGAAGAGGACAGGGCAATAGTTTAGTTTTTTGCAGGAAAGGTTGATGGCGTGCTCTTAGGTTCATTTCAAGACAGCATGTCGGGAAACTGATTGTAAATGAGGGCCAAGGAAGAAGGCCAAATGAGATTGATGCTATTAGATTGTGGGCAAACCTCTACATGGGATTTGATTATGTTTGGGCAGCTTGTTTGATCACAAAAGACTGATTCATCTAGCTGCTTGACATTCTCATCTGGTGGCAGGCTACTTCCCTATGCTTCTTGAAATGGCCCAGAAAGTTGAACCATGATGGCACACAAGTTATTCATCATTTCAATGGTGAAAAGATTTTCCAACTTGTGTGAATCCTTGTTTTGTTGGTTTGGACCTAACACACCCCACCTTAGAATTGGGGAGTTTGTGTTGATAAAAAAAATACCCTTGTCTTATTAGGAAGATGAAGCTAATTTCAGTGACATATCGTATATGACATATTGGATTGGTCAGGAGGCAAGATGCGGTAGCTGATGAGCTAAACCAGGAAGATCTTTTCAAGCATAATAAATGTACACATGCTTAGTTGTAGGCCATGACTCTACAAACGTGCGCACACTTTGTGGTTTAGGTATTTTTAGTTGATTTTTATGACATACATTATTTGCCCTGGATCGATTTGAAAGGCGGGGTTCCTTCGTTCATAAGTTGTTTTATAGGTCATCCACTTCTGAGAATCACATCGATTGAATATTTTTTTCTTTACATTTTTTGAGTGTTGATGGGATTTGACACCAAGAATTCTTATATGAGAGCCCCGAAGTGAGATTAGAGTTGGTAAGCTTTTTAGTGGACCTTATTTTCCGTAACTGTGGTGCTTCTCTAGTACTATTGTTTCCTTTCAGTGAAATGGCTATGGCACAGGCGACGTCTTGTCCCCTGTCAATGCCATGGCCGGATGTATGCAAGATGTGTGGGTGATGTGCACATAAGGCAGGGATGGAAGCAAGACAATGTGTTGGGACGAATATGAATGTAGTATATGCATTCAGTGGGTAACGGAGGTATGCAATGTAGATTTACTTAATGGCAGAATTGCATGATTGAATTATTCAGGGGATGAAAAGCTGTAGGTAAGCAGGTACTAATGGAAGTTAACTGACACGAACTAAATGAGTAAGGCAGTTTAGGCATGTTGATGACACACGAGGAAATAACTATTCGTAGGCAGTTATATTCGGGCTTTTAGCTGGCGAAAATGCAAGCTTGGTGACAGTTTTCACAGTTTTTTTAGTGCACCTATTTTCTTGGAATTCTAGTTCAGTCGGTCACAGCACTGTCATGTCAAGGCGGAAGGTGGTTTATTTGGCCCGCTGGCCTTCTCAGGCACCTGCCAGCAAACCCAAGTAGTTATGGGTGTTAACTGCATCGTTTTTGTATACATTTGGCCCAGTGTTGAGGCACCAAATATACATTTCCTTTATCTTGTGGAGTAATAAAAAGTTGGAAATAGTTGTCCTTATGCATTGTGTTGTCGCTAATTTCTACTTTCCTGTCATGCTAAGTTCAATTAGTTAGAAACTAGTTGTTTGTTCAAACAATGTGCTTTTATGGGCTGACAGAGACGTGAAACCTGGGTGTCATTGCAAGCTGGTTGCATTTTAAGGTTGAAACTATGTCAATTCGTATTAAAGCCTAGTTTTAGGTGTGTTGGCTGAAACCAAAATGATGGCAAGCTAAATTTAGAGGATCAGTTTCTGGTACATTAGAGAATTTCGTTGGTGACCAATGACTCGTGATGCGATCAGTTTGGCAGCTCAGGCATGTGAATCGTGAAAGTTGCATGTAGTATTGAATAATGGATTTGAGGCGTTTATTGTTGAGATGAACAAAAATTTTGCATCCATGATGAGATGGCTATGACGCAAAATTTAAATTATTATCTGGGATGCATAGGGAGATTTCGTTGCTAATAATGGCAATGAACAGCTCTACTTCAAGAGATTTCGTTGCACCTTTGAAATTTAAGGTGCCTGAGCCAAAGTGCCTTTGATGGAGCCTGAAATGCTAGAGCTGGGGAACTTTCTTTGGGACATAGTGCAGTATTTCAAGGCTGCACATGTTCCCGAAGATCGGGTTGACATTGGGAGCATGTATGCGCCGAGCGGTCTGATTATTAGAAGACTAACCTGTGAAAAACGGAGACCTTTAAAAGAGAGGCCAGCCTCTAAAATTGAAAGAAGGTGAATAATCTTTTAAGACAAGTGAAGAATTACAATGGCGACTTCAGTTGCACTAGGCCTGATCTTGCAAGGGACTAGGGAGTGCCCAAGACGAGAGAAGGTCAGTGCTTGATGCTTGAATTCAAAGAAATGGAAGAAGCTGTTGGGGAATTCTTGACCCGGTTGAATGCTATGCAGCTTATTGCTGCAAATGAAAAGTGACTGTGATGTGTGCGCTTTTTCTACTGTTTATGTGAATCAGGTGGAGGCGGCAGATGATGTTGATTGCAGTAGTGTGTGTGGCCAGTTCAAGGTATGGGAGTGTTCCGATGGCATTGGTGTTAAAAATGCTGATTTACTTGATGGCGGCATTGCATGGCTGAATAGTTTTGATGTCGGGAGACAGAAGGCTGCATGCATGCACTAACAGACGTTAGATGTCATGAATTAAATCGGTGAGGAGGTTTAGGCATGCTGATGGCACATGAGGAAATAACTATTGGCAGGCAGTTATGTTCGGGCGTCTAGTGGGAAAAAATGCAAGCTTGGTGGGTGATTTAGTTGGCCAATTGGCCTTCGTTGGTAGGTTCCAGCAAATTGAAGGAGTTATGGGTGTTACCTGCATCATGTTTGTATATATTTGGCTATAGTGCTGAGGCAGCAATCAGAGTTTTGTGTTGGCCCTGCACTGAATTCAAATTTCCTTTATGTTGCAGAGTAATGAAAGGTTGGAAAGAGTTTTCCTTTCGCATTGTGTTGCCTTTAATTTCTACTTTTCTTTCCCACAAAGTTAAATTTGTTGGTTGGTTGTCGTATGTGCAAACAGTGTGCATTGGTGGACTGATTCAGGCACGAAACCTTGGTGCCAACGCAGGCTGATTTCATTTTTCAGTTGAAACCTGTGTCACAAGGCATGGTGAATCCAGTCAATTCAGTTAGGAGGAGTTGGCCTGTAGACTAAGTCAATTGGCATGGAGCATTGAGGAAAACCAGCTGATCTGATCTGATCTTAGTATCTTGTCTTGTACTGTATTTTTACACTGTAGAGAATAAGAAGAAGAATTAGAGAACACTTATCTTCCTTGTTGCTTGATGAATTTCGAGTTTTAAAGGGAAATATGAAGCAACTTTGGAGCTTTAACCTTTGCGGTTTTGAAAATGACTCCATGATTTTAGGACCGGCTGACACAAAAAGTTAATTTGTCTTTGGATTGTATAATTGCATATTTTCATATTTGAAGATATCTGACCTGCACTAGAACAAAGTACGTGATATTTTTTTGTTTGAGAGAATAATCAACGTGTGCAAATCATTGTGTATTTTTTCTGAATATCAAGAGGATCACCTAAGTCAGATGTGCTGGATACTGTGTCAGATTGAAACATGTCTAGAGTGGACTATCTCATTGTTGCCATGTTGAACGTTGTCTTACCTCATAAGTGCCTATTTAGAGTTCATATGCATGCCTAGCTGCAACTCTTTTGGTATTGTTTGTACATACGTTCATAATCTTTTGATGTATGAATATGGAATGATCATGTGATAATTGTTTTTCCGTGCATGCATCTCTATAGCCGTCATCTTTTTTAGTTTGATGGTGTTTTGATGTCATGTGAGAGATTTTGACGTTCAATGTTTCATTTGCAATTGTCTTCTTTCATGTATTTACCTTCTGTTAATTTCTAGGGAAGTGACTGTCATCATGCCTCGGCTGAAATGTCTTTGAAGGATGCTATGGTTCCAAGTCCGAGTTCATCAAGGGTTCCCAAGAGCCCTTGGATGCCATTCTCTATGTTGTTTGCTGCCATCTCGAATGAAGTTCCTTCTAAAAACATGGACCTTGTCAATGCCTACTATGAGTTATTCAAGGTATATTTCTTGATACTGTAACTTCCGTTTTCCTCTATTGCTGGAGAGTTTTCCTCTCCTTCATCTCTGTTTTTTCTCATCTTCTTGAAACGTGGCAGAATAAGAAGATAAATCGGGATGATTTTGTTAAGAAGTTGAGGTTGATTGTTGGAGATGCCTTGTTGCGGTCTGCAATAACTAGCCTTCAGTGCAAGGTATGTTCCCTTGTAGATTTTGTTTATGAAATTTTTGGGAATATTTTTCCTATCAGCATAAGGTACTCATGTTTGATGATTATATGTTGCTGTATATGGTTGTGTTCTAAGAATGAGATGCTTAGGTGTTCCGATTCATTTCTCTGCTAATTAATTTGCAATACGAGATCTTATTCAGCATTGTTGAGTGCATATTACTTGTGGATTGGGGTATTTGGATTCAAATGCAAGTGATCCATAATAACAATGTTTTTGGAGCTCAATATAAATCCGGCATTTATGCATACATTTGTACTGGTAGGACATATTTTGTGATTTTGCACTTCCAGACCAAGCTTGTAGATGCTTATGTCAACATTTATCTTGTGTGATCCTATTTCCATTTGTGCAAAATTTGACTGAATTGTTTTGTATTCGATGAACATCATATGATTATCCCTGTAATCCTCGACTTTTTTCTTCCAACAAACAGCCAACAACAAGCTAAGCACCCAAGTCCATTTACTACAAATTATCATAGCTGGACTGTTTCTTGTAGTGAGAAATGATACTAACATTAGTACTGTCCCTGCAACAGCCCCACCAATGAATGAATCTCTTCCCTTTTCTAGCCATTTCTTTAACCTATATTCTTTTATGATTTTTATTTAGTAATCTTATCGAACAAAATTGTCACCTTATAATAAGGTGGCATCATTCTAGATTTTTATCTGAAAATTATTTTTGATATATTGTGGTTGGAGTTTTGCAGTTTTCTCTTGTAATAATATTGACGTGTTGCAATCCTTGCAGATACCCTCAAAATCCAACATAGAAATGGCGACATCTAAATAGACGGCAGGAAATTCTAGGCAGCCTTTGAATGACGATAAAACAACTTTGCATTCTGTGTATATGAATATCAGCCGTTTTGATGATTGTTGCAGAATGTGTAAAACTTGCAGTTGCAGTGAGGGTTGAATAGTTTAGTTCTTTCAACTTGGAACTCTTTTCAAGTGCTTTGCTTACTTTTGTTCAGTCGGATGTAAATTCCTGACTATTTTACCGGTGACTGCTAATAAATAAAACTTGAAGTTGCAGTGAGGGTTGAATAGTTTTTGTTCAGTCGGATGTAAATTCCCGACTAATTTACCGGTGGATGCTAATAAACGAAACTTAGTTTGTGACAGCTTTCTATCTTCTTAGTTGCTAACTTGTCATCTCTCTCCATTCCATCTCCCCCAAGGGTGTGTAGTGTTGAGGTTGCAAAAGTGCAGCTGAAAATCAAGTGCTTTGTTCCTCAATATTTAGTGGTTGCCTATTTTAGTGTTTCGCTTGGTATTGAGAGTCATGTAACAACTCAATGCCTGAAGATCCGGTGATTGCATAGAAAAGGCCATCTCGCAATGCAAGAGCTTCAGCACTATCCACTGAGTACCATCCACCTCTACCTCACTGCCGCCCTTGCACCAAAGAAGTCCCTTCCCTCATGGGTGCCCGCCTCTGTATTAAGCTTTAACATTCCCTACCCAGGTGGCCCAGTCCCTTCCCTCATGGGTGCCCGCCTCTGTATATAGCTTTTACATTCCCTACCCAGGTGGCCCTCATCCATTACTCCCCCTGCTGCCCACTCGCTTCCCTCCTCCAATAGAACCCCATCAACCCATCAGCAGTAGTAGCAAGAACCACTACCTCTCATCCCATGCACTCGTGTTTCGTTCTCTCCACCAAATCAAGATCGAACAGCCAGTCCTTGAGTTTCGGCTTCTTTTGTAGCATTTAAACAACGCCAAACATGCTCTTGGATTAAAGATGCTAGTTAGGAGAATGATTGTTGGCCGGTTGTGCTTTATATAAATAAGCTAAAATCATGTTATCTAATCTCCATCTAAGGATCTCCAAATTCCTATTCAAAGATGGCTATTGAATTAATCCATACTAATATACTATCTTAAAAGAGGCAATCAACCATTTGCTGTTCATATGTGAAGCATTTTTTATACCCATTTTACCATAGCCATCTACTATACATCTAGAGGTGTTAATCCGGGTGATCCGGGCCGGGTCGGCCTGCCAACATGTGAGCCCGGTAACGGCCCGCGTGAAAAAAAACCTGCCCGCTGCGGGTTCTGGGCCGATTACGGGTTGGCCCACAATTTTGGACTACAATCCAGGCCCACCAGCTGACCCATCCGGGTCGAGCCCATGCAGGTCACGGGTCGCGGTTCATTCCGATTTGGCCCGTATGATTGTATAAATAAAATTATAAAAATATAGAATTTTTCATATTTATAGCAAAAAATATATATTTTTTTGTTAAATGTAAACTAAGAATTGAACAAAATGATAAATTCATAATTATATCAAGAAATTTTTACGTAGAATTCAAATTTAATGTTACATGAATTATTTATAACTTTGCAAACTTAAATTTAACTTAAACAAATAACTACATCAAAATGCATGTCTAATTATTATTATCAAATATTTATAGCATAGGTACATCCCAATTAGGTTGGCACTTACTTAACTATAATTTAGTTGTTCAAAAATTATATTTTTGTTTTCCAATCAATTTTCAGGAATTGCAAGATTTTTGAAGTTTTCAGCAACATCATCAATAATTTTATCTTGTATCATTCGATCCGCGAATATCCAATCTTTCACGCATATGAGAGCTTCCAAAATATCTTCTTTGAGTCTAGATCTTCTTTTGTCCAATACCCTGTTACCTGCACTAAAAGCAGATTCGGATGCCAGTGTTGAGACTGGAACTGTTAGTAGATCTCGTGCCATTTTAGATAATACATGATACGACCGCTCAATTAATTTCCACCATCGTAAAATATCTAATTTATCCACTTCATATTCAGGTATTACACTATAATGATCAAATTGATAATATCTTTCTAATTCAACAAGTGTGGTATTTGGGGAACGGCTCTCTCCCCTTTTTTTGAATTTTATTTTATTTCTATTTTTTCAATGTTTTTTCTGTAGTCGGTCCGAACTGTGTAAATCATATCAAAGAAAGCTTCTATGAACCAAATGAACCTTTTTTCTGCATTTGTGGATGGATATGGAGTTTGAAAAACGATTGTGTTTTCAATTTAATTACATGGGTGAATTTGGAATAGATTTATTTGTTAGCTCAATATTTCTTTGAATTCGGGACAGTTTTTTTCCCGCTTAATACGATACATATGTGATTAAATTATATACTATTTTTATTATTGGTTCTCTTGAAGAAGCTCCTTTTTTTATTTAATATTTTCTCATGTCTCAATATGGTCGACTTCGAACAATGGATAAAGTGGGTTTGGATGGAGACAACTTTTAAAATGATGTTCAGTCATATTCTAAAATATGTCCACAATATGTAGAAATGATAAAATCTCATTATAGTGAAATTACTAACTATATAAATTTTGGAATTATAATTTGATTATGGGGTATATATTTTATGCAAATGAATTAGTGAATTAGAAATGAACTCATATTAATAACTACTTCCTTGCTTTTCTTTAATATAATTTGTGGAGAATATATTATTTATAAAACTAAATTACATAACGTATAACATATGTTTGGTACTATATATTAATAAACTAACCCAATTCAACCCGACCGACACATAATTGGGTTGTGTTGGGTTTCAACATTTATATGGGTTATGTTGGATTGGATTGGATTTGGAACAAATCGATAATGTTGGGTTGGAGCAAAAATCGACTCAACCCAATCCACGCCCACCCTTAGAAGCAATCACACAATTGTTAATCGAGGAAAGATAAAAAAGGAACAACCAGTCGTAAATTATTGTTAACACTAAAAAAAAAATTTCGCGTCCGTATTGCGTGACGACTCTACACAACGCTTCGCACAGTGCGAACCACAATCCGCGCTGTGCGGAGTGGGAGTCTTTCTCTCGTGCTGCACGGAGTGCGGACACAGTATATTTATTTATTCATTTTTATTAACCTACCCCTTGTTTGCTATGTACCGTTCATATTTATATTAAAACATGTTGGAATTTAAGTTAGATTTGCTTATAAATAAATTATATTATTAATATGCATTATTTTTTTGAATGATTTGTGTAGAGAATACATATTCTATGTTGTATCTACATGAGAAAAGTGTCTATTGGAAAAAAAAAACTGTTAACTTCCAACAGACACAATTCTTCAAAATATACACGAAAATCAGAATTCCTTTTGGGGGCATTGCATCCTCTACCCTCGCGAGCTGATCGGGCAGGTCGATACCCACCTTTCGGGGGCAGTGCAAACCTTTTTTTTTTTTTAATGCTGGTGTCCGGATAGCACGCACACCAGTGCTCGCACAACGCGAACATTTTTTATTTTTATTTTTATATATATAATGTTAACAATAATCTACGATAAACCCATAGCGAAACAAAATCATTACTATCTTCAAAATATTTTATTTTTATTTTTTATTTATTTTTATATATAGTGCTAACAATAATCTATGATAAACCTATAGCGAAACAAAATCATTTCTCTCTTCAAAATACAAATTCTTTTGTAGCTGCAGCCCCATTTTGCCTAATAGAACTATGCTTTTATTGTTTTCTCATAATCTCATTTTCATTAGCTCTCATATCCTATCACTTGACGGTGTTACGATAATCACTTTTGCTTTCTTTCTCTGCTCATGAATTAAACAATAGTTCGAAAGGTTGTACTATTCGATAATTTCAAGATCTCTCTACACGAATACAAAATTCGTTGAACGTGTATGGATGAAGTTAATTTGCTTGCAAAAATGGAAGATGTGATGAATTGCGTGAAGATGAGGAGATGTGAGAAAATTTCAAGGAAAAAATGCATTTATGTCGACGATAGAAATAAGCAACACATGTCATGTGAACAATCATTTTCTTTTGGCTCTTTTATATTGTAGCGAAGTGAAACTTATCTTCATATTGCTTCATTAACTATAGAAAATGTATAGTTCCCAAGCGTTCACTATATGTATTTAACAGTCAACAAAGAAATACTTTCAATGCATGTTTGGTACATGATTAGGTGGATATGAATTGCTAGCTTCTTCATTTTCCTAATTATTGTCCACCTTTACTAAGAGCCTATTTGGAGCTCATTTTTAAGCCAGAAGAATGCATTTTATTACCGTTATTGTACCAAAATCAGCCTCTTTTTTTGACTTTCCTCTCACAGCTAGGACCCACTTAGAAGACTAACTGTCATTTTTTTTAATAAGTTGCGAAATGAGCTCCAAATAGGGGCTAAATGAGTCATTATAAAGTACGGGAATAAAGAACAAATATATGATTCTTCATGTTGCGATCGATGATAATGAAAATGGTAAATAAGAACTCAAGATCGAAGGCTTACAAAAAAATAAATCTCTTAACAGTTTTGAAATAATCCAATTTCCTATTAGTAATACAAACAATTAGTCCAATTTTTTCAAGAATATGTACCGATGTTATTTGTTATATAAACTACAGTTCATTCTCACTTTAGCCAGATAAGCAAAACTAAAGAAAGAGAAAATATTAAAAAAAAGAACTAGCGTAGTGTAGAGATATTTTGGGGAGCTAGGGAAGCATATAGATAAAAACAGCATCAAAAAATAATTTATCACTGTCAAAATAGTAGACAAAATTTAAGTTTTAGAACTATGCTTAAAATATCACATGTTGAGGACCCACTCTGCTCTGTTTCATTTTCTAACCTACAAATGAACAAACAACAATTACCTGCAAGTTTAAAAACTCAAAATTGCTTTCTCTTAATGTGGGCGATACAAGTGCGGATGGGAACTTGTGGAGAATTATGGTATCCATCATATTCAGAAAGCAACGA